GTAAACAAACACACATGGACACAGATACATTACAATGCTTTTATCCGGAAGACTCCCAAAGCACTTAACAACGTTGGCCGTGGCTATTGGAGCCATTTGGGGTTCAGTATCTTGCCTAAGGACACTGTGAAGCTGACAATTGAGCGGCCCGACCAAGCAAGGAGGCAGAGGCAGAACGTCCAAAAATACAACCCGGTGTGGGCATTTATTAAAACATGAACACATTACACACCGCCTCAATCCTGCTGCTGCTGTTCACGTGAGCCCAGCCTGCAGCCACCAGGATCTCACTCACACTCCCTGCCCCTAACAGACAGGGAAACAGAGCCTAAATACCCACACACACTAATCAGCAACAAGACACAGGTGAGGGGGGAGGAGACAACACAGGGCACCAGGTGCACACAATCCAGCAACAGACATAACGGGAGGGGGAACACTTTTCAAACACAAACATATAACTGAACAGAAGTACACACATACAAACCCAACTAAACGCAGTCAGCACTTGTACAATTAATGCCACTTAACGCTATGATGTCTACACCCCCACATATTATTTGCACCCGGATTATTCTTAACCGCTGTCATTCTACACCAGCATAAGCACTTTCGGAGCTCTCGCTAACTCCCCTATCTTGTCAGGCGGAGCCGAGGACCCGACCAGCACCTGCCAGACGACATTTCAATTAATACGGTTTAATCCTTTAATAAATACTATCTCAATAATTAATATTTAAAATGTGCAAATATGCCATGCCAAACGGTACTGTGCAATCACGCTAATAAAGTGCACAACTGTTCACTAAAGTGCTGAGTTACAAGGCCCGAAGCCGTCAGTTCACAGTGACGAAGTTACCTTCGTCACAGACACTTCAACATGGTAAGGGACTGGGGATCGAACCACTGACATTCTGAATTATATGGCCATCTATGCCCTGAGCCAAGTTAAAGGTCCCCTATTATACTGTTTTTCATCAATATATTATAGGTCTCCGATATATACAAAACATGTCTCTGAAGTGTTTGGCTCGAAATACCAAACAGATCGATCATTGTAGCTTCCCATAATCCCCTTTGTTTCAGCCCTGTTTCAAAAGTGCTGATTCTCTGTCTGTGACTTTAGATGAAAATAAGGAGCCCCTCCCCACGCCCCTCTGAGAGATATTTGGTTAACACAATGGTGCTCTAGGAGGAGATTCAGGTGATAAGGTGGGGGGGGGGGTTACCTTGGTTGGTGATTGGCTAATGGTTACACAAGCCAACAAATCGTAATGACATCATAAAGTGGCCAACATCTGACTTCCTGACTTCCATGGATCAGGACAAAAAGTAGGCGAATATTTTTTCCTGAAACTTTCAGAATCTCTTCACACAGAGGGGACACATGTTGATGTATAAAATACATGATAAAGTGGATTTTGCATAATAGGTCCCCTTTAAACCAAGTAATAAAAAGAAGATGTATATGTATTTGATAATATCCCAATGCAATACTACATTTAGAAAAAACAATTGTGACAAAACTATGCAAGGTATCCTGTTAAAGGGCTTTCATGTCAGTGCCAGTATATTCAGGTATAACCCATGATCTATTTAATCTGCTCTATTCAAGGCCAGCTGAGTCACTTATCCTCTCCATTCAACGCCCAAACTCCTCATCAATGGCCTCTGCACAAAGGGAGTCCCGCACATCAATAATGAGGTAAAGCATTCTTTACAAACAGAAGGTATGTGCACAAGGTCAACGTGTGTATGAGGCAGTACCAAATTGCTTGCTTGAAAAGTGCAGTAGTCAGATTTCACAGTGTAGGGACTGCACACCCAGGCATGGTGGGGGTAGGATTTCCCCTTTATTTGCATATATTTTTTAAATACCAACAATCCCTCCACCCTGAATGTTTTGTTAATTTTCTGATTATATCAATATTTTTAAAGACTCATTATTGGATTAACCTGTTTTGGCCCGTTTGCAAGCTAAGAGCGGCTAGCGAGGCCTCGCCAAAACCTCTGTCCATGTTTCCAAGAGTGTGAGGCTGTAAGCTACTGCACGTCCACCAGGGTCTTTACAGTAAGGCGTGATGTTGCAGTCACTGCAGGGAAACCACTGCTGAGTCATGATGAGCAGCAACAAAAATAGAGACATGACTCAGAGAGTGACTCGCTCCGTGACACAGAAATGTGTCCAGGTGGAAGTGGGGCGCTCCTTCCAACATTCCAGACGTTCAAACATTCCAACGTTCTGCATATTTAATTCACAGTAGGGCACTTGTAAAACACAACAACATGCAAAGATAGAATTCAAAGTAGGTGTGAGAGTTTCAGTGACGTGAGGAGAGATGAGGATAGGCTCAAGTACACGAGAGTGTGTGTGAGAGAGAGAGAGAGTGTACCTGACAGCAGTCACATAACCATCTGACCACACAATGAGCCAATACACATAATAATAATTATTATAATTATTATAATAATAATAATAATAATAATAATAATACATAGTGGTTCCACATTGCAATAACAACAAATAATACATGCAATCCACTGCTCTAAAAGTAGGGAGAGATAAAAGACAAATTAACTGACAAACAAATTAATTAAAGTTGATTTTTGACAACTTTAGCTAGTTAGCATCAAGATTAGCCCAGATCTATCCTGAAGGTTACATCATGTACTTTAGAATATAAAAAATATCAGGAAACAATAAAAGTCCCGGATCATTTTCATATGCAAAGTGGGGAGAACGTCACAAGATGAATACAGAAAATATTCCTGACACAGCCTGAAACTGTTTGCATAGTTTGATCCAATAACTCTTGCACTCTTTGACTTCTCACCCTGAAAGGACTGAGAACACACACACACACACATACACGCGCACACACGGATGAACACGCACACAAAAAGACACACACACACTTTTAGCACACAATATCCCAGCAGCGTTGGAGGAAATTGAGAAATTCTACTTAAGTAGATTGAACCACAAGGTTCAATCCTGGGACCATTACTATTTTCGCTCTATATAAATGATGTACCATCTGTATGTCCTGACACAAACATCCAAATGTATGCAGATGACAGTGTAATATATGTACATGGAAGCAATATGACACAAGTGCCTAATGAACTGACAAACACCATGGTTCATGTAACAACTTGGTTGGAACAATGCTGTTTGCAACTAAATATTTGTAAAACAGTGCATCTTCTTCACCAAAACAAGACCTCTTGTGTTGCACCAGATGTTTTTGTATCAGGGGAGAGGCTACAGGTGGTGTCACAATACAAGTACCTTGGAGTCATGATTGATTCAACACTCAATTTCAAGGCTCAGGTTAAAAAAATATGTAATAGGGTCAAATTCAGTCTGTCGAATATTAGGTTCACCAGAGATGACATGTCAATTGAGGCATCTCTGATGTACACACACTCTCTCACACATCACCTACTGTTTAACGACCTGGTCACATGCCAGTACAACAACATTAAAACCACTGGAGTCATTGTACAAACAAACACTCAAAATACTGGACACAAAATCTGTTTTTTCGCATCACTGCCCAATACTCAAATACAACTTGCTAAACTGGGAAAACCTCATTAAACAAATGCTTGCCTTTTCTACAAGATTGTCAACGGCCTTACCTCACCTCCTCTTAGACAGTTTATTAACATACGCACAACTGCAACTAGGGTAACAAGAGGTGCAGCGTGAGGAGATTGCATTATTCCACTCAGAAAAAGTTCTTTCAGTCAGTCTTCATTTTCTGTTAAAGCTGCTCAGCAATGGAACTCAATCCCACCTCCAATCAGAGACCAGACCACATTCACTTTATTTAAATCAAATCTCACAATATGGTTAGTGAGGAATCAGCTCTGCCAACACTGACCCAATCTTCTGCTCCTTACAACCCACTGCCTGTGTTTTAACATGTTCTTTTGTTTTATTTGTTTTGTTTTAATGTTCTGTATTTTAAATTGTTTTATTTAAGTATCCCATTAATGTCTGTTGCATGTTTTAAATGTATTGTATTTACTTGTTTAAAATGAAATGTGTTTTAGGTTGACTTTTTAAATCTGTCCAGGGACCCACAGATAAAAAATAAAAAAACTTGGCTAACTCTGGCACATTTACAGAAATGTTCATTAATGTGCACTGTCCCTGTTAAATACATGTATAAATAAAAAATAAACCAACACCATATAAGTAAAGCTAAGTAAAGGTTCTGCATTCAAGTTATATTTAGTAAGTAAAAGTACTTACTATGGAGCCAAAGGGGCCCAGATGTTACATTATAATATTATGATAATATAAGATTAATAGATCTATTTTATTGTTGTGGCTGGCCTCAAAATAGTGCTTGTTGTGCAGTTTAACTTACTATATAACAGTGCTTTGTATTTTATGTCAATTTGTTTTTAAAATGCCCCCAAGATTATTAAATCATAAGAAAAAGGCAGTATATGTACAATTACATTAGAAGCATCAAATAAAGTACAAGTACATCGAAATAATTATATCTTTAGCAGTTATTTTATTGGCCCAGCAGATACAAAAAGGACTGTACAACATACTGTCCTCTCAGATTGAAACAGGGTACTACCTCTCCCTCCAAGTATCCCAAACTACAAAAAATAAATAAAGAATATAATAAAACAGTTTTTACAAAAGACAAGTATTTTGTGCCAACATGTTAACAAAGGTTTCAGCAGAGAGAGGTAAGCTTCTTTCTAAACATTAGTACAAAAATACTTCTTCATACATTTTCATTTTAAGACTCCAGAAAGTCTCTCCCATGCATCTCTTCATTTGTACTGTATGAACACTTACATATTATTAACAGCACGCTTCATAGAACAAAAATATAAGTTACATTTGTGCAGAGCAGACATTGTAAAAAGAAAAATTAAGAACTCTGTTAAATTATCAACATGCATTGTAGCGTTAAACATGATGAAAAGTAAATATTAAAGTGATATGTGGAGTCTCTATTCCATAGAAATGGCAAGGGGAGTGGCGTAAGGCTTGGAAAAAACAAGCGCTACAGGCACTACGGCAGATATCACCTCCATGACGTGAAAAATACAAAAGAATAAGCAAAAGTACAAATGTATTCCCAATGTGCAAAATAATCGCTTATTTTATAATGTAAGCATACAATTAAATCATCTTCTTTTGAACACAAATTAGAAAAATATGCATTTAAAATGCAAAGAAGAAAAAAATGTAAATTGACAGTGCAACCAGAAGTAAAAAAAAAAGAATGGGCTGAAGGATTTCTGTAGTTGTGACTGTCTTAGGTCTCTCAATTATAAACAAGTAGAAAATAGTTTATATGGAGCCATCTGAGCTATCCATTTAAAATAATTATATGCGTGACGTTCTTCAGTCTCAAAGAGATATAAAATAGGAGCATTTAAGAGTGTTTCTTTACATGAGATATGAACAATATTACCAATAACCATCATTTTTTAACAATAAAATGAACAGTTACTTGTGTCTCTTCACAACTGAACTCGTGCTTGTAGTTTCATGTCTGACCTTCAGTGAACCTCACGTCAGTGCAGGGCCGAGGTCTTTCTCCTCAGGTTCTGTAATGAAAACACATTCAGCAATAGAGTGAATATTTCTGTGACGCAACTGTTGAAAATGCAACACATTAACACATCCAGCAATAATGTGAAGACTGCTGTGTAGCAACCTTTACATACGCAACACGTTAGCCTCGGCTGCCAGAAGTTCAACCACAATACAAACACAGGCTTTACTGATACTTCCTCATGTTGAGTAATCCCTCATTTGGAGTGTAAATCCTCGTGCAGTGTAATCCCAAAAGTAGGACATGAAAACAACCACTGAGTTAATGATTGTGTAAACAAGTGGCTGGTTGTGTGTGTGTGTGTGTGTGTGTGTGTGTGTGTGTGTGTGTGTGTGTGTGTGTTCTAATTCCGCCTTTCCGCTGCGTCAGAAAAACATTCACAGACACATTAAACACATCTCTCTGTCTTTTCTAGACTTTTGAAATTGTCCATCTATAAACAAACAAATAACACTTCAGTTTGTTTCTGAGAAAAAAATGACTAAATAACTTTAAGCTTGTGAATATAATTGTTTAGCTTGTTAGCATGCTACCTAGCAAACCAGCAGCAACAACAACACAGCTACTGGAAGCTAGCTTTAGCATGCTACGTTTGAGTCTATGCTAAATGAGCCTGATGGTGTTTCTTTGGTCCAATATCTCTTCATAAACTGGACATTGTGTCAGAGTAATCTGGTTTATTTGATGTATTTGTGTCTGATGTGACTGCTAGCAGAACTACAGTACGCAGCAATGCAGAGCCTCGACAGTGTGTTTACCTTTGAAAGACTAAGAGTGAAAACACCTTCAGATATTGGAGGACAGTTTGTCTTTAAGCAGGCCAGATATAAAGCAAGCACAGAGACAAGGAGAGGACAGTAAGCATGAGTCAGCGTAAAGAGTGGTGACAACAGCAGGCAGGAATAACACGTGTTTTCCTGTTTCCTTTTCCCTCACTGGGAAGAAAACACACACACACTCATTTCCTGTCAGTGTGAAACATGTCCATCTACGGAACAATTATGCATCCGTCATAATATATACTCACAAGTGAGATTACGGAGTCACATGTCACTATTAAAAGGTACAGTATGTACATTTATATATGACTTTAGATGCTTTTACATTTTATGTCCAAAAAAGCAAAAGCTGCTGTTAAGTTGAGTGCGGGAAAAGTAAGTAAACAAAGAAGCAGCAGTAACAGGAAGAGAGTGTAAGGATTGGATGAAAAGATAACAGAATACTTACAGGCAAACTCTGCCCAGCCAGTGCTGTGAGGAGCAGAGGGAAAGAGGAGAGAGAGAAGAAGATAGTAGATGAGCAAAAGAGGAAAATAACAGAGGTAGGGAGGAGCAGAGGAGGAAGAGACATAGATAAGTCAGTGGACAAACGTGCAGTCTGTACACAAACCCAATAAATAAAGAAGCCAGATTTAACAGAAAAAGGCTTGTGTGTGTGTCTGAGTGTGTTTATGCGAGCCCTACCTGTCCAGACAGGCTGATGGGGGTGTGTGAGGGGCTGCAGAGAGACGACGAGGACACAGATGGAGGCAGCTCGGAGAAGCCGGCCTCGTCCAGATCGTCGATGCGGGGTTTCTTGATGTTGGACTCGGGGCTGGTCAGAGGAGTCACGCTGTTCCTCCTGATCAACGTCCCGGGACCCCTCTTCACATCCTGCAGGTGGGCATGTGGAAATGTTAATTTGAGGATGAGCTCAACATGTATCCACTTCTTTACAGCATGCCTCCCACATTCAGTAGCGAGTTTCTCTGACGTTACCTCCGGCCTGTCTCGGTGGGTGTTCACCGCCTCCACATTCAACGAGATGGACTCCACTTTGCAGCCGTAGGCGACCGGGGTGAGCTTCAGCACCGTGTGCAGGGGACACTTCAGGTACGGCATCTCCTCTGGAAAAACACATATGAACAGCATTAGCATCTTAAAGGTCCCCTATTATACTGTTTTTCATCAATGTATTATAGGTCTCAGATATACAAACATGTCTCTGAAGTGGCTCCAAATACCAAACAGATCATGCATTGTAGAATCCCATAATCCCCTCTGTTTCAGCCCTGTTTCAAAAGTGCCGATTCTGTGTCTTTTACTTTAGATGAAAATAAGGAGCCACTCCCCGCGCCCATCTGCGAGCTATTTGGTAAGAAAAAAGAACACAAAGGTGCTCTAGGAGGAGATTCAGGTGAGTTACCTTGGTTAGTGATTGGCTAACGGTTACACAAATCGTTATGACATCATTAAGTGGCCAAAATCTGATCAGCTCATTTTCAGACAGGTTTTTATATAAATGGATCAGGACAAAAAGTGAGGTAATCTTTTTTCCTGAAACTTTCAGAATCTCTTTACACAGAGGGGATACACGTTTATGTATAAAAGTGGATTTTGCGTAACAGGTGACCTTTAAATCATTAACATTATGATACAGCAACAGAAGGTTTCTGGGACTTTGGAGTACCCACCTGCACTCTTATCCAGGAAGTAGGCCAGCAGGCAGCGCATGACGGCCTGGTGGCAGATGACCAGAACGTTCTCCTGTCTCTCCAGGTCCATGATGACCGGCTCCACCCGCTGCACCAGGTCCTGGTAGGACTGTGATCAGGATACGGAGGGTTGGCGTCTTTATTATTGTTCGTATATCAAATACCTCTGAAGTAGGGTTGCATTCTTATGTCTAAAATGATAATCTGGGTTATTTTTGCTATATGTCAGCCAATGACCTAAATGCAAATCACTGCTATTACGTGTGTGCATACCTCTCCGGAAGGGTAGCGATAGTAGTATTTATCTTCATCTCTCAAAGCAAACTCCTCCGGGAATTTCTCCTTCATCTCGTTATACGTCATCTCCTCACACATTCCCTGAAATGACGGATAATATATCAGTTTGGCCGCAAGTAAAATACTGGGAATTTGGTGTGTTAGTGCGATGCTTACGGCGTCTATCTCATTCAGAGCCTTCCACTGTTCGTACGGGACGCCCAGGCGCTCTGCCGTGTGGATGCTGCGGCACAGCTGGCTGCTCCAGACCTTCAGGTCCTGCAGCTGCTGCTCCTCCACAAAGCCAGCCAGGGCAGCTGAGAACTGAAGCAGAGCATATTTAGCACCTGAAACCGGCATTTCGTCATATTTACAAATCTACTTCAAGGGTTCCTACCTGTTTGCCCCGCGGCGACAGGCCCGAGTCCCCGCCCAGACGCCCCTCCAGGTTGTCGGTGCTCTCTCCGTGCCGACACAGGTAGATGCTGCGGGGCTGGACGTGGATGTTCATCAGGTAGTAGATGATCTTACTCTGGATGTGATCCTGGATCCGGTTGACTAAGAAGCGCCGACCCACGTCTATCACCTTGATGAAGGAGAGGTTCCTGGAGGAAGAAGAGGATGGAGGGAGTGTTTCATTAACCTTCATGAAGGATACAAGGACCATTTATTGACAGTGTTAAACACAGGGTCTCCTACATAAGAAAAACAAAAACACTTGTAACGTTTCCAGTCGGGATGCTTTCTAAGGCTCCACTGTAAAGCTTAACAGGAACATGGCCGTGGGGGTTTTGTTACATTTGCTTAAGACATACTGCCTTTTTTTTAGCTTTTTCAACCGGGATGGAGATATGGGATGTCCATATCGGCTTCTCTGTGATGCTGATTCGCAGAAAAGTGTGCACCTGCTGTACAACAGCTTCACTGATGTAGACAGGTGTGTGTGTATTTTCACCTTTTCCTACATTCAACCACCTTGGTTTGTTAAAGTTGAGCCTTAAGATGTTCTATGAGCACCTCTCTGCAATATAGTTGATTTCCTCTCCATATAAATACACAAAACGGCATTTAGATATTGATACCTGTCATGTCGATCAGGGTCCAGAGGTTGGTAGCTGGTTTTGTAGCATTCAATCCTCCTCTGGAAATCCAACATGGCGTCAGTCTTGTTGCAGTCCCGGTAATCTGGACAGGACACCTTCACTTCCTTGAACAGGGAGGAAGTCAGTCAGACAGAGATACAGTACCACACCTTATGCCACAGAGTTTGCATAGTATGCCGTGGGACCAGGATGCACTGGAGCTTTGACTCACCATGATGTTTGACGCAATAACGCTGGGATCGTCACACACGGACTCGATGAAAAAGATCTGGGCAGAAAAAGCAAAAGCAGTTAAACTCGCTGCATTGAAATGGAGGAAATGCTGTGAATCCTCAGGTAGCATCACGGACCTTGAAGCCGTTGTCACTTCCAAACTGGAGGATCATCTCTCTCCTGTCTCTGGTCGTGTTAGTGGCGTCAAAGACCTGAAAGGACACAAAGCGGGTTAAATCGAGTCCAGGTTACGAGAACATTTTAGAACGCAATGAATGATGGGAAACTCACCGCTATTTGGCCTCCCTCGTCCTTCAAATAGGAGTGGACATCCCTTAAGGCTGCTAAGGCACATTGCTGTCGGATTTTAACAGCACACTCGTTGTCGGGCTTGAAGAAATCATAGGAGCTGTAGTTCTTCACTGCTTCCCTGCGGTACTCTCCCACATTGAAGACTACAACACACACACACACACACACACACACACACACAGGAAAAATAATGAACACGATGTGCAGGAGGTGGAAACATGATTAATGCTGAAGTGGGTGTGTGTGAGAGAGAGTGTGTGTCAGAGTCCTGCACGGGTCTGATTTTCAAGACCCGCTCCCGCGACGTGCAATACCGAACCCGCCCCGCTACCCGCACATATTGCCAATTAGTTCCGCAACCCGACCCGTCGGCACAAGATCCGCAACCCGACCCGAACCCGCATATCCTATATATGAGCAGTGAAAACGTGCAATTATTAACACATGCAGTTGCATATTTGGCTCAAAAAGCGTGGGATGTTGGTTCTTTTCTCCATCTAGGATGACACCAAAAGCCTCCCAGACGTTGGATTTCGCTCTTGAGGAAGTGTTATTGAAAATGCTGTATTCTCCGCTAGAGAGCTTCACCTCAGCCATTTAGAATGTGGCGCGCTCAGCAGCAGATTGATGCGCTGCAGAGGTTATGATTATGCGCGGTCCCGCGGGGGAGAGGTCTGAGGATTTAAACATTAAACTAATTTATTATTATTTTAATATATTTATTATGCAATACCCGCGACCCGACCCGCATCATCTTTGTTTTACCCAGAACCGAACCCGGAAAAAAGCGTTTTAAAAAATACCACCCGCAAATCACTTTTTTTGCGGGTCATCCGTCGGGTAACCCGACCCGATGCAGGACTCTGGTGTGTGTACCTGACAGCAGTCACATAACCATCTGACCACAGCATGAGCCAACACGATCTCTGTGTGTGTGTGTGTGTGTGTGTGTGTGTGTGTGTGTGTGTGTGTGTGTGTGTGTGTGTGTGTGTGTGTGTGTGTGTGTGTGTGTGTGTGTGTGTGTGTGTGTGTGTGTGTGTGTGTGTGTGTGTGTGTGTGTGTGTGTGTGTGTGTGTGTGTGTGTGTGTGTGTGTGTGTGTGTGTGTGTGTGTGTGTGTACCTTTGGTGGGAAGGCCGATCCAGTTGAGGTAGCGGGTGAGTTTTTTGGACATGTATGTCTTTCCTCGAGCCGGAAGACCCACCATCACGATGACGGTGGGGGGGTTGGCGAAGTGGGGGGCACCGGCCGCTGCAGAGAAGAATGGGAGGAGGGGGAGGTTGTTATGACAACAATGCCTGTTTTCCCGGGATTTTATAATTGGACCTTGTATTTTTGCTTTATTTTCTCTCCACCCCTGCAGCCTACCTGAAATGTATTTATTGAAATCTTTATTTCTGTGACACGCCCAGCAGCATGTGGCTGTCAATCTCATTTATACTTGCTGGCCTTGTTTCTATACAAACGAGCCATGCTGCCTAAACGGATGATCGGGTTCATCATCCTCTCTGCACAGCACCACCTATGTGCTCATTTGTAACTCAAATCATAAGAGTCTGCCTGAGTTTAGCAGGGAAACGTGACCAAAGACGAGCAGAGTGCTTTCAAATTGCTTTAGTTCCTAGTTTTAACTATTTAAACTAGAGCAATGGAAGCTTTCTGTTTCTTTTGCAGAAACTTGACTCTTGTGTTGAAGCCATAAGAAACATCCTTCACTCAGAGTTCCCCGAGCTCATCCCTAGGCAGGGTCTCACTCGCTGCCCGTCGATCAATAGAAAACAAAGCATCACACAGACGTGGTAACCATGGTGACCGCAACTATGTCATTCTCCAGCAAAAGGGATGTGACGTACGGCGCGTGCCGATGATGAAGATCAATGGAAGTGAAAAAATGTGAAGGACAGGTGCACAACTGTATATGACGACATTTGTCATAATAATGTAGTGATAATTTAGATTAGAAAACAGCATATGACGCTGTAGTATAGGCTACTATGGGGCTTTACCTCTTCGGTTGGCCGGTGGGTCATCCTTGGACCGCTCCCAGGTCTTCTGGATCCGGTCCTGGGTCAGCTCTCCGGGCATTCCTCACAGTACACGGGCACCGAGCCGCTCAGTTTAGGGGAGAAGACACAAAAGAGCCGGGTAGGTTCAGGCGAAATGAGGCGAGCTGTTCCTGAGCTGAGCCGGGTTAATCTGCAGGCTGCGGCTCACATTCTCTATTTAACCCCGCCCCGCCGGCCGGCAGCAACGTGACAGCGGTGACGACACGAACCCACTCACGCGCAGATACGCACGTTCATACAGCACAGCGCCTCTGTGTGGGGTAACCATAGACTTGATATAACAGATAGTATGCACGCAGAGGTGGAAAAAGTACTCAGATCTTGTACTTAAGTAAAAGTACCAGAGTGCAGGAATAGTCTGTTACAAGTCCTGCATTTAAAAGTACAAACGTTGAATTAAATTAAAGTACCAAAAGTAAAAGTACTCATTATGAACATTTCTAAATTGAAAATGTGTCTTTTAAGTAATTATTTAAGTATTTTTTTTATTAATTTTTTTTAATGTCTTCCCGTAAAATGATACATCCTCCACTTTCTACAAAAATGCCTCTAAGAGATCCTATTTACATCATAATCTTACTATTGTTTCATATCATTTAATTTGCAAGATGCAAATCCAGATTGGGATAAACTATGTTTTGCCAATATATGTTAAGATTCAGGAAACCATTTATGTATTTTGACACTGAATCATCCCCCATTCATAGAAATCAGAATATGAGTCATTTCACTACAACATAAAACTATCATTCTCCTCCTGTGTTTTAGTCAATAGTCATAGCAGTTGACCTTGACCAGTGAATCTGCGGCCGTTTCAGGACTGGTATAAAAGATAATGTATCAGACTATCAGTCAGCATGACAGCTTATTTTTAGGCCCTGTATTTTTCCGCATAGATTAAGATTGACAGGAAAAAGGACAGGCTGTGGGACCATGACCCTGTTCACTTAAATAAGATACTAAGTACTAGTCATTTATGCTTTGGTACTTTTACTTTTGTGATGACGTTTTTTTCTGTCACTTTCTTTTCTTAAGTTAAACTTGTTTTAAACACATTTACTTGGTTTAGTGAGAAACATCCTCAATGTGTAAAATTCAAGAAAGACATAGCTGCGTCTTTCAAAATACTTTCCCCGTTTTCATGTCAATATATCCAGATCAGCCTTTCCACACACACACACACACACACATTTTTTACTTCACCAAAAATCCCATTCAGGATGTCATTGCTTTGGCTCTGTAATGTGGCTTGGAAATGTATTTTCAGCTTTTCAAAGTAAAAGAAACAAACTTTTGCTCTTTGAAAGTATCGGGCGAAATATCAGATGCATTCTTCTAAGAAAATGTTATTTACATTACCAGATCTTTATACCAATACATAAGAAACATATTAATAACAGTCATTGTCCGCCGGTCAGACATCCATCTCCTGCCTCTTCAGCCATACCCTGACCTCGACCCTTGCAGCATAAAGTAAAACTCTCCTTTCAGTTTTCTCTCCCTGATCTGAATAAACCTGCTCCGGTGGGATCCCTGCTGACGCATTTCACGGGCAGCTTCAGGCCCCTTTAGGCGCACTTATATAATTTCTGAATGAGGCCCTCTTTCCACAATCAATCAGGGCTAAGTTAAGACCATTGGGCTCTGGAGATGTCTCAACACTACTTTGGATGCAGCGTTATGTCATGCAAAATGTTGAGAAGGAAACTAGGCTCCATGACAGGATGTGTGCAGGTTGCAAAGACATTTTCAACAAAAAACCATTGACAGTCCAAAGTAAAGAAAACAGTAAACTGGATGTCGTTCATACTCTTTATTTTGTCTCAACATAAAAGGTATTTTTAATGACATGAATCTACAAGACGGAATCACCACTACATACTGACAGGTCACTGTTGTTCAGGAAATATAAAAAAAGTTTATATACACGTTGTGAGATGATGAGACGTCACACCTGCTCGCCGAGGTCCAAAACCCGAAATTTGTCTAGATTGTAGAAGCAGGCCCTGACGATTCGCCCGCCGAAATAACGTCCGTTCAGATCCACCACGGCTGCAGAGGAGAGCGGAGGTTACACTCACACTGATAAGGACACAGATTAACCATTCAACAACACACTTTGGTTAATATTTATTTTATAGCGAAGAGTTAACCATTGAGTTATTTCAACTGGTGTTTCATCAGAATGCCTTTTCTCACTGTATGGTTGTTGAACAGTGGCACGCAGTTCAATAGTTTATTTAACCGTCAACGCTCTTGTTCTAAGTTGTTTCATTTGTGTGGAACAAACTCCGGGAAACCACAACTTGAACACCACAAAAGTAGACGTGGCAATAAGGAAAATATGACTACAGAGGCAGCAGACAGTAAATGCTGTTATAAAGTTCCACTCATCGAGGGGACCTTTGTACAAAAAGGACATTGGACATACTCAGCGTTCAGTGTTGTGTCTCGAGGAAACGAACAAGCTCTTATTGCCACTTAGTGTACAAAACATGTTGCAGTGATAAGACTGTAGATTGTTTTGCGGTTAGGCTCATTACATCATGTCAATGGAAACAGGGCAACATATTCTTTCAAAGGAGTACATCAAACATGTCTGGAGGTCTTTGTTAGTGTGAGATGGCAGAAACCTTCTCATGTTTGTACGCTAAAAACATACCCTGCTGTATCGTCTATTTTACTCTGAACGGGAGGAAGATTGACTAAATAAACATCATGCTGTACTGGAGAAGACTTGAAACTACAAATTAAGACAATAAAGTCATTAGAAACCAAGAGAGAAGTAGCCACATTTTCTCATAGTCTTCTACACAATCGTCTCGGCCATATTTAACTATTAATTGGAAAGAATCCAGGTTTAAAGGCCCTTCTGCATTGGCTTCACTTTTCAAACCCCTTGGTTGCTGCTTAAATTGCTAAATGTACTGAATTTATATAGAAATGTTCAATTATTTGCCATCACTAAAAGAGCGGTCACATACAGAAGTCAGCATTCACACACATTCATCAGCAGTTTAAACATTGACCTCTCACTGCTGGACAACCACTCTTGCTACTTGATTTTTCAGCAAAAAGTAAAGAAATGTTTAGTCATCATCTGTAGAAATAGATCACACTAAGCGGCTTGTTATGCATCGTTCTGTCTGTCCCACTTTCTGAGCGTCGGTGTTTTGGCCGTTCTGCCCCTGCTGCAGAGTCATGTAAGATGTAACACCACAGGGAGTCCCACCTTCATTCTGATCTGGGCCAACACATTTAGAATGGGTCACACTCTCACCCACAATATTAGAGCAGTTATACAAGGGTAATATGTAAGAATGAAATCCTAAATGTTATGTCCATGGCCTAAATATTCAATTGATAATTATGAATAAGTCTGGAGTTGTTCCATAGACGATACACATGAGACTGATTTTTGGAACCCACAGAATGTTTTTTTTTATACCAAAATGAGCTTTACTGTCTTGTAGTGTTCCCAGTTGTGAAACAAAAACCTTTCCCATGCTTTCAGAAAATCCCCCTGGCTGCTCTCACCGTCTCATCTAACACAAATCATCGTCTATGTATCACTTCCTCACTTTAAAGTGATGATGTCACACATTTGAGTTCAAGTTGTTGGGGAGTCTTATACTAAAGGATTTACATATATGTATTTTGGAAGCATCCCGAATGAAATGTGTTTTAGAAATAAAAGTTAGCATTGTCAACAAAAGGGGAAAAAATGTCTGAGGTTCGGATACTACTGTGACATTTACAGCCATTTTGAAGCAACAGGAACTGACTCGTGTTCAAAATATTTGTAGTGTCTGGTGTGTCCAGGCTTTACAAAAATCATGTAAGTGGACCTCATGCAGGTGACTACAAAACAGGAAATACCTACCTTTGATGGCTGACTCCACCCTCTCAAACTCCAGAAATATCCGGACAGCGTCCTCATCTGGCACAACTGCGATCTGATAGGCAAAGAGGGCTTTGTGAGTGTCATGTAGTATAAATGAATTAACTGCACACTTTGTATTTCTCTTCTCTTACCTCAAAAATGACACATCTAACCACTTTGCCGTATTTCTCGCACTCTTCTTTCGTCTCTCCCTCCAAGTCTTCGTCCACCTCTCCTCTGCCCACCATGTTCTACAAAACAAACACACATTAGGCCTTACTCAGGAGACTACAAGTATAAATCAAACACAGACACACATACCCTGAGCAGGACAACTTTGGTGGGGTTTTTTAGGATCTCTGTGAGCGGGTTGGCATCTGACTTCTTGACATTGTCCCCTGGTCGGTGAAAAAAACGTAAACAACGGTCAAATGTTATTCTATTCAAAATAATATGTATATGCGGTGCTGAATGGAGTAATAGCTTATCATTTGTGTTGTTATGAGTACAACACAAATGATGAATGACAATTTGGCAGATATTTATTCAAAAGCTGATTGTGAGCCCAACAGGAGTTTTCTGTCACGTCTGGCTGTTTTGTCATAGTTTAAACACTGCTTTTATGTTGTTATACTAACAATACGCTGCAGAGGAATTGACTTGTTCAGAGGAACACAGAAAGTGTCCACATGTGTATACACAGACATTACATATTATTAGTCATCCTTTCAGCAGGTCCTTAGATAAACTCTGACTCATAAACTGGTAATCAGGAGCAACAATGTGTTCCTCAGGAGGGCGCCGACGTCCTTTAGAGAACAGTGTAAGAGTGACTGTATTCTCATGTTAACTGTACCGTACAGCATACAGAGCTGATAACAGAAGTGCTGCTGATTGGCTGTAATCCCTTCACTCGTAGTACAACTACAGAAGCAGTGAAAGCTAGGCAAAGACTGCAACTGGAAATAGCACAGGGGAATTTCCATTGTTTTCACTTATTATCAACCCATTTCATCTCCAGTTTACATTTGATTTCACACTTTACCTCTGAGGTAAGTTCTAATCTTTAAATGAATTCATTACTTTCTGTAAGAAAGTTAAAGGGGCCCTATTATGCTCTTTGGGGGTTCCCTTTCCTGTAGTGTGTTATATAGGATTTTGTGCATGTACTGTAAATGGTCTGCAAAGGCTAACGTCTCAAAGTTACCTGCAGAGGGAGTTTCTCTCCCACACACTCCCCCCCCCCCCCTGCTATGTGTTTTTTTTTTTTTTAAATAACATTTTTTTTGTATTGGTTTTTCAGTTGAGTTATACTTAAAGTTCAGGGTAATCAACTGTTCAAAACATACTGTTCAAAAAAAAAATCTCCAATAAATTGATGTTTTCAAAGTAAATGGATAATCGTTTTTAATAATCGTGATATCAATTATTGACCCAAATAATCGAGATTATGATTTTTGCCATAATCGAGCAGCCCTAACACACACACAATTTCTGAATAATAGCCTAGCATGGCAGTATACTAATAGGAGAGAAAATAAAAGGTGAAAGCAAACCTGAAAAGCCTCCTCCTGAAGTCTCAGGAGCACCTGCCTGGCTGGAGCCTGCTGCACACCACACACACACACACATTAAAACATGTAACTGATCCTGGAATGACACCAGGCTCACTGGTGAAGAATGAAAAGTGATATACTAAGAGTCAAAGCAGGTTACACACAGACACCAAACATAAGGGCTGGCACCAACAAATTAAAATGCTACTTCATACAGAGAAAAGATTTTGAAGGAAAGTCAAAACATTGGGCGCGTGGCCTCCAGCATCATGAGAGAAAAATATCAGCAGAAACACAAACGTAACGGTAGTACTTACGTTTTTCTGCAGCGTCTCCGATGATGATCTTTCCTCCTCTCTTGCTCGTCTTCTCCACAGACAGCGCCGTGCTGAGGCCCTGCTCGTGCTTCCCCAGGCCCTGGCCCTCTTTGAATCCATACTTCTGCATGATCTTATGGGCCACCGTACCTCTGTGGGAGGCGATATGGAGAAGGAGGATTTCAAAATGTGTGTTTGTTGTAATAATAAAGCTGTTTGTCGGCACTTCAATTTATAGAATCATTATTGAGTCAAATAAGGGTTCTGTTATTTATGTTGATGCATTGTATCTATTAGATAGTAATGAAGTAATTGACAAAAAACTGTCCAACATACAGCTTTAACACGTTTACTCAGCATATAGGCTGGCATGTTGTGTGTGTGTGTGTGTGTGTGTGTGTGTGTGTGTGTGTGTGTGTGTGTGTGTGTGTGTGTGTGTGTGTGTGTGTGTGTGTGTGTGTGTGTGTGTGTGTGTGTGTGTGTGTGTGTGTGTGTGTGTGTGTGTGTGTGTGTGTGTGTGTGTGCCACCCACCCCATGTTAGCGAGGAAGGAGCTGGTGGGTCCGGGTGGTGAGCGCGCTCGCTCTGAGTCTTCATACATCGGGGGAGGGATGGCGGCCTTTGAGCCTCTTGGGGGACGAACTTCCTCTTCGTAGCAGTAGGAGCCTACACACACAGAAAAACAAATACAATGTTATTTCTTTCGCGTGTACAATTTATGTTTGGTATTCCCATCAACCAGAATAAATACAAAAATAAATATCTGTTTGAATCCGTTTTGTATTCTGTTTTTTTATATCACTGTGTGAAAAATTAAGGATGATACCGGAGCAAAGAACTCCCCGCCTCTGTCCTAGTGATTTAACACTGGCATCACATGGTAAAGATACTTTAAACGGTGATGCTGCTGCCCTCTGCTGTACGCAAACTGACAGTTAACATAACCGACAAAGACAACAAATAAACGAACTAAAGCCCCTGCGGGTAACACTGATGCACGTGTATTACTAAAAAGTGTTTTGTACTCATTTCAGGGAACAAAACAAAGTTCAAGCAAAATAACTAACTAAGGGATAGTGTATCTCTGAGCCGTTTACATAGGATTGCTTCCTGGTCTATTTGATAGTCAGGGTTCATATACTTTTTCACCAATGATTTTCCATGACTTTTCCAGGACCTTTACCTAATTTTCCATGACCAAAAAAATTACTCTTTCTCAGCGTACCACTGAAAATGGTTTATTTTAACATGGAACAGGAAAATAAGGTCTGCATATGAAACATGTTGTGCCTATCTAAAACAAATCAAATAGGCTTACTAGCTTCTACACGCTGAAGCAACTCAAATCTCACCAGCAAAATATACGATACAGTATTTATTATCATTATAGTATTACTATTTTGGCGATTAGATAAAATATAAATTATATTTGATGCAACTTTCGTTACATTTCCATGACTTTTCCATACTTTGGGAAAAATATTGTTTTCCATAACTTTTCCAGGGCCTGGAATTAGCATTTTGAATTTCCATGACTTTTCCAGGTTTTTAATGACCGTAAGAACCCTGATAGTCTGTGGTTTTAAATGTCACCACCTGCTAGATAACACATACCGTCCTTGTCCACGAGTGAAGATGGAGGGGCGATGGCTGCTCCACCTAAAGCTGCGAGAGCGAGAGAGAGAGAGAGAGAGAGAGAGAGAGAGAGAGAGAGAGAGAGAGAGAGAGAGAGAGAGAGAGAGAGAGAGAGAGAGAGACAGACAGGAGATTCATCACGTTAGAGAAGTTTGACACATCATTACCGTGACACACAGCAGGGCTACATGCATAGAATCAGCAAATGATTAAGCTATTCATCAACGCTAAAATGTTTGACATGTATTTATATACATTCAGAGTGTAACCAAATAGAGCATGTCATCATTTTGGAAAAGTCAACCTTCAGACTCGGAAAATATCCAAGTAAAGTGAATATTTCTGTTGTACAAAACAAATATTCACTTCTTTTCCTCCGCTCTGCTTCATAGTCTTCCTCCTCATCTGACTCGCCCTCCGCTGCAGGGAATCGAGAGAAGCCACTCGGAGCTCCTCCCTCGTGCCTGTCCTTCCTCTTCCTGCAACACAAGAACATCAAGATTTAAAAAGGAGTCCTGTCCTCTAAATATTCAGTCCAGTAGACTCTCAGTTTCATACAAATTATTAATCCGTGACGAATAATAAAAACCACAGCCCTTTTCTTCGGTTGACCCATGTTTGTTTCCACTCTCTGTCATTAATGTGAATAGTGTCTTGGCAGAACTTTTGATATGATTTGGCATCCATAGTTAAGCATTAACTGGACATGCTATGGCTTCAAGCCCGGAAACAAATGTACTGATTGACTGTCATGACCGTACTTTTCTCTATCATCGATCTCCTTCTGCCGCTCCTGCTCCCTCTGTCTCTGACGCTCTTCTCTGTGTCGCTTTACCACCTTCTCGTAGTCGTTTGGGAACATTGGATCGTACTCATCTGCCAACGGGATCAGCGCATCGCTAGAGGAGAAACCACTGGGCACGGTATCCTGAAGCAAATATGTACATGTTGTGTGAGCAGATTGGGGGGGGTCTTTGTGCAGCTGCATCATAACACCACATCCCACTCAGTATCATATTACCACTAAGTATGCACTTTTTCACACTGTGGCTCAGGTTTGTGGTACGAACCTTAAGTCCAGCGGCAGCATGTGGAGGAGTGTCTATGATCTGTCTTTCATCAATGGAGCCTCCTCTCTTTAGATCAATAACCGGAGCCAAGACCGAGCTCTGCTTCATCCGCTGGGTCTACACACACAGAAATTGATTGTGAAAGCTGCCATATAAATAAACTTGCTTTGCCTTGCAGTGCTCACATATTACATGTGCCTACCTTGGCTTGGGTCAGAGCAGCCTTCTTCACTTTCAGCTGGGACTGCAGCAGCTTGAAGTTCTTGGACCAGCCTTCAGTCTTGGTGTCACTGGCACCCACACCGATCTCATCGTATAACGACATAGCTGTCTCCTGCAAACACACACACACACTTCATTTGTGTTCAACCACAGCGTGAATGTATCTAAACTAGCTTCACATGCATCATTTTGCTCTGCAACACTTGGAGAGACATTGAGTCTGTAAGCAGCTGTCTACATGAGACGCTTCTCAATTTGTATTGTAACGAGGGTTTTATTAATTCAATGCATGGACATGTTAACTTAACGTTAGCTATATTAAAGAAAGCATTGTTTCACTTAAAACTCAGGTGCAGGCAAGGAGAGACTAGACAAATATCAATGAAGCTAAACGTTAGCTAATGCTAACATAGCTACGTGACTGTCTACTCCTCAATTACATATCTTCACAACAACTTTATTAGTTTAGCTTGTTTTCAACCTACCGGTTTAAGAAATGTCTGCACATTAACTATATGCCAGTGCCTGTAACATAAAAGAGTTTAGCGGCACATTTATTAAAGTTAGCTCCTCGCTGTACGAAGCGGAAGTCAGCAGCACAACAACAAAACTAAGGGCGACAGTCAACGACATCATGGCGACATTCTTCTCTCTTCCTCCACCTAGCGGCTGGCTGACTCCACCACAATACACTTCAATGTCCAATAACAACTTTATGTTTAAAATGACGGCTCTGTGCAGCCCAATCACTTCTCAAGGTGGATATGTATGTACCTTTTCGACTAAAAAAGGGGAATGTATAACTGCAGCAAAACATGGCGTACCACTTGATCCATGGATTTGCATACTGTAGCCTGTATGTATAGATTGTAGCCCAGGGGTGCCCACACTTTTTCAGCTTGGGAGCTACTTTTAAAATGACCACGCCCAAATGATCTACCTACAGGGCCGCCCCAGCCCAATCTGTGTCGTGACCAGTCTATGGTCGTGACCTGTACGTCAATTAAGTGGCAAATGCCATAGTAAGGATGGATGAAAGGCTAACTTTAAAAAAAAAAATCTCACGTTGCTCGCTTCAAAAGTTGAGCAATGTTCAACTTTGAAAATTGTAAATAAGCAATCTGTATGTAAAAAACCACCTGTATGTAAATTGTAAATAAGCCATCTGTATGTCAAATATGTCTTATATGTCTTAAATGACATAATGAATTGGAAATGGGGGACCCTGATGTAAACAAGACGAAAGTCTTTCTCTGGTCTGCATCCCCGTAACAATTGTATGTTTTGAGCTGTACTGTACTGTACCCAATATACAAGCTGTTAATAAACTTTTCAATCAATCAATCAATCAATGAAGCTTCGACGGAAGCGTCAGCCAATCAAATCATATGCCAGTACAACCTTTAGCCAATCAAACCGCGTGCTTGTGTGTCCGGGGCGGGAGATTCATGTGATTGGTTGTTGGTCGCGGGAGTGCCTGAAAGTGAAAGTGAGTATTGACAGCAGTGAGGATAGTCTCTTCTTGTAGATGGCTACTCTTCTGTGAGCAGATCAGATCGTCAGATGGAGCTGGACTCCTCTTCACTAACCTGCCTCACGGTGCTTTGTCTGCTCGGAGCTGCAGAAGTCTCCAGCCTCGGTGAGTGCACAACAAGAATACTATGATCTCAAATCCGAGCGATAGTGGCAGGATTTAGGGACATGAACTGGGGCTTCTTCTTCTTCTCCTTCTTCTTCTATGTATATGCGATATGTTCCCTTTCAGCTTGGATCCTTTTGCACTTTTATAGGCAGTGTTGGAAGAGTTGTTGACTTGTGTTCATTTAGGCATACTGTAATACAACCTATGGATTTACAATAAAGCAAAAGCAAATATCATATCATTACAAAAGACCTGCATAACTGTATCAGGACTCAATCACATCTGGCACACTGTTTCTGAAGGACTTTTTCTATATTTCTACAAAGCTATTACCTTTGCTATCTGAAACTCACTTATAAAAGTTGAAGCATTTGAAACGTCTCTTTTGTAATCATGCAATCACACAATGTCTATCTTCCAGAAAACAACACTTGCTGTCCAGATATTCCCGAAGTGAATAGAACTAAACGTCCCGAGGTCCCCTGCTTCAAAATTAACAGCACATTCCGATACACGTGCATAGATGGCTATGTGAGGAAGTCGGGAACCTCTAATTTGCTCAAATGCAAACCTAATGGCATCATTTACACCCCCTCCACCACCTTTGAGTGTATACGTAAGATTGTTTTTTTTCATCTTTACATTTGTAGACACACTGCATGCAATCAGAGCAGCGTAAACTGAACACAGATAGTTCAACTTGTGAAACTGGTATGTAAGAAAAGAGAACAAGAGTGTGCATGCCTGTAGGATGAATCATATGTGATATAGCATACAGAATTCCAACTGCATGTAACGCTAACAAACCAAGGTCCCAGATGATTCAAATGTCTGCTGTTTAACTCTAACAATGCAGTGTGAACACTTGGACTTGACTTGAGCCTGGAAATGAAAGCAGTGAAAGCAGCATTAAGAAGGAAGCCACCTCTTTAGCCTGACACATACAATCAAACACACAGTTCAAATGAATGATGTAGCCACTGAGGCACACTGGTATGTATATCAATCGTCCACATGCCAACTACATGTGATTTCTAGTACTAGAGTCTCCAGTCATACGAAGAACAGACATGACAGGAGAAGTGCTGCTAAACATAAGCAGATGCAACGTAATCATTACTTGTCTAAACAGCACGATGTATTGGCTGCAACTCAACAGATTTCTTCATTTAAATGTCTCTGTACTGCAGCCTATTTTCCAATTTAGTCTGGTTTTGTAGAAAAAGGAGTGGGAGTATGTAAAACATGGTGATGTATTTCTTTTGAAATGTAGATATGATATGTGTACGAGACTATTTTAAGCACCGTACACTAATAATACATCTAAAAGCAGACGTGAAGATAGAAATGGAAGCATCTTTTTCTACACACCACCCACACACTTCCATCCAGCTTTCCCCATGTATAATAATTGTTTCCAGAAATGGACAACTCCTGGTGGCCCATAGAGCATATATCAGGATATAACTGAAGCCTGGTCAGTGCACAAGCTGCCTTTTATTGAATGTGTGGCTTTTATTACACAAAACCTGTGAGGACTGTACTATGTCGAACTATGATAGAAGAAATAAATAAATAATTTGATGGTTGGGGTTGGTCGAAGATAGTTTCCAGATATATTTAGCAGGGCGGGAAGAAACGGGGGTACGTTTTAGACAAAGAGCAGTATATCATCCGCGTACAGTGTGAGGTACTCTGAGCGTTAGCTTTGAAACTAAAATAGAAAGTGTTTTATTTCCTTCACCAGGCAAAACACACTAACAGGTCACATTGTTGGAAGGGTAGGGTGCATTGTTTTTGACAGTGATAATGACAATCCACAATCCTTATCATCTTTCTGGCTTTTTCATGCTCTCAAGTTTCAACTTTTTATTCGTGTTTTTTCAGTTGACCCAAAGAGAACCACAGCACACCCCAAGAGCACAGCAACAAGTAAGTGTAAGCTCCAAGTGCTATGTTTCAATGTGAGCTGGACAGAAGTGTGTGTTTCACATTTATGAATAATGCTCTGATCTTGCAGCGGGACACACCCATATCCGTATCCCCCATGAATCCACCGCTTCCTCCATAGTCAGTGAGTTCTATCCCAGCATGAAGAAAATACTACTACTATACTAGAAAAATACTAACAATAAAAAAGCACTAATAATGGAACTGAAAGAGTGACATATATACATAGAAAATGTGTGTGTGCAGCAGTGGTAATAATTAGAGGCAGTAGTAAAGTTAGTAGTAATAAAATCAGTGGAAGGTTTATCAGAAGCCATAATGTACTGGTAACATTGCATTGTAGGAGTTACGGTTTAAATGAGTACCAACCAAATCAACACAAATATAAGGACTACTTAACACTATTACTATATACTTAGCTCATTCTAATGTATTCTGAGTAAGTACTTTGCTCCATGTTTAAATTAGTGGGAGGGAGGATAAAAGAGAGGGTTCAATATTTCAATGCAACATTCATGAAGTTGTTGACAGTGCCCCTGAGACATTTCAGGAGCATGATAGTCGTGAGACCAAACTGGTTATTACATCTGACAAACTGTTAATTGCACAACATCATTATGATCTTATGATCACGCAGATACATGTTATCGGGTTCCTGTGTAGAGTCGGAAAATGTGGTTTAGAGGTAGAAGAAGCACGAATGTAACTGGAAGTCAAACATGATTCAAGATACTATCACTAGTGGTTACACTATGGTAGGAAGTAGAGGAAACGGCCATATGCTTAACATAAGCACTTATAACAGTAGTATGAATACTAATATATTACAAAAACAGATTCTGGCATGTGTTTTTTACCTTTTGTTATGAATTGTGTGGCATATTATATGAAAGTATTCAACGATTCTTACAGTTTCAAGGTTAAAAAGTCATCTCTAAGCAGTATTAGTAGAAGTAAATGTATTTTGTTATCCACATCAGCTTCCCGCAGTCTTCAGACCAGCCAGAGTATACAGCCGTCAGACACCCTGCGTGCAGAGCCCACCTCCAGCTCCACCTTTAACTCTCCTGCCCCGCCCGGATCCTCCCAGGGTAACCTGCTAATCAGTTTAACGGCACTGCATGTTGCCAACAGTTGCTCTCAAGCCTGGGCCTGTATCTGTTAGACTTCTGTAAAAGATAAACAATTTGATTATTATTTATTGTGTTGCATGGCATTTATTAAGATAATCAGTTACAATAAATACATGAATAATTTGGGATATTTAAAAAAATACTTTAATGTTGGATCAAGCCATATATCCATTCAGAATCTATCCTGTTAGATAGAAAGGTTGGACTTTTACACATTACGCTCAACCATTGTTTTTTTTCAAACATACATGAAACAGCATTAGTTGTAAAAAAAATATATAACAGTACCTTGGGGACATGATCCTTTCTGGACTGCCTCATTAATAACTGAGCAACAGGGGAATATAATCATTTTTTCTTCCACACCAGGGGCGGTAGATTCCATGCCAGGGACCAAAGCATCCACATCGCACGGCACACTTTCCACCACGACTGAGGCGTCCGACAACGGGACAATTATTCCGGGAATGCTCTCCTCCACGGCCCCCAGTAAGTCACTCTACCCATTTGTGCTAGCTCGTGGTGGATGCAGCTTGAGAGCCAGAAAAACACTGAGTATTTCTCTCTTATTGGCAGGACTTGTGATTGGCTGTGTTTCACTGGTGATTTTCTGTGCTTTGGTGGGAATCAGCTTCTTTTTCTATAAAAGGTAAGCATGCTCACATACCTGTGTTTGAATGTGTGCAATTATGTCCCAGCAAACTGTTTCATGTGATGAGAAAACTCAGATTCAGGTATGACACAAACAGTTTTTATCCATCATAGCAATTTGGTTAAATGTCCAATTATGGATTTATTGTACTGCTTATGATCCCTTTACTTTTTCCTTCATGCCGTAGGAGGTCCAAAAACGAGATCCCTCAGCAGACCGATGAACAGATACCCATGAAAACGGATCCACGTGACTGACAGGAGAATGGGTTATTAGACTGTGTAAATCACATATAATGGCTGGCTGCATGACATTTGTTGTATGAAGTTAAACTGACTTTTTAATGAGCAGATCTCAACCAAAGATTTGATCTTCATCTGAGGAACTTTAATTGTTGAAGACTGTGATCTTCTGCAGCTACAAGATGTAGATGTATGTTGCTGATATTGTCTTCAAATCCCAGGAAATTACAAAAATAAGCAATTAATCAATTCCCAACTACAGGTATGGTGTGTATAGATCTTAGTGCCTTGTGCCAGAGTTCCATTGTTCTGTAGAAATGATTGAAACACATAAGTGGGCCGCACCAATAAACAATGATCACATTAGCATCTAAAAAAGGCCCTTACCAAACTACATTTCACAAAAGAAAAACCTTGCTTAAAACCGCAGTTCCCAGTGGTTTATGGGAAGCATTCAGCCATTTTCTAAAGACAGAGAAGAAGGTAGGGAACCAACTTGTCCTTCACCCCATGATCTGGGAGTCAGCACTGCAGGCTAAGAAGCTACCCAAAGGCCAAAATGCTAACTACGATAGGCTATATTTATGGCCCAAAGTAAGATGTGCCTTTATTTTGATATTCATATCTGTGGTCATCCGAGTAAGTACACTGTCAAGTAATATCTGAGTAGCTTTTTATGAGCTTGTAGAAATGTAATTGTGTTGAATGAGCATATGATATTGCCTCAGGTCACTGAATCCTATCGAAACCGTATTGTGGCATACTTTGTTATATCAGCAAATATGGTATCATAGTCCAATAAATAGATTTATAGCTTCAAGATTAACTCGTGATTTACTCTCCAACTATTTAGCAAACGTAGCTTACGGAACGCCTATATTTCTTCATCTCTTATCTGTTTTACTCATCTGAAATGCTAAGCCTGATGTTATTTGTGTAGCGGTTGTACTGAACCATGCACTGAACAAAGACTGTCAGCAACCTACAGAGCATTATCACTTAAAAATATGGTCCATCCATTACAGGACAAAGTTTATCTTATTTCTGAGATTTTTGCAGCCACTTTGGTACAATGAAATGAACAGAATATTTGTTTCCTCTAAGAGCACCAAAGCATTACATGAAAAACACAACAGCAGGTTCAGGTCTGGGAATGAATAGTGGGAAAGTAAACAATTCCTATATCATAAAAATAAAGCTGTTAACACTTATTTAATCTCACTCTAAAGCTTTTTCTTTATGCCTCCATGTAAAATGTGCAATCTAAAATATTCAGCTTTGTTGCTATGCTTATGAACTTTTCTTTTTCATACAAGTGTTTCCTTAAAGTTTTGTTGATCAGAAAAAAGTCCTCTTATCAGAGCAGCTTTAATTATTTAGATGATTGTTGTGTTCCTGTATCTCTTGTTGTGCTGCTCTGTGCATTTATATAATCATTAAAGTATTTCTTTTTAAAAAACGGTCTATTCTTGCTTATAACAGTTTTAGTACAATGACGCCCACCCGCTCTAGAAGAGGAACATCATGCTTGTTTATATGTTTCACTTCTGCAGTTCCTAAATGTAACTTCACTATGAAGTCATTTAAAATATCTGCCAGGCAGCATTTAGCCTGGGTCAGAGCCGTATAATAGAAGAGTTACGACAACGGAAGTCCAAAAACGGTTATCGTCACGTGGTTCATGTAGACGAGGATCGTTCCCCGGAAGTTCATGGCGGGCAATGTGAATGCACTGATAACAGGAGATAGAACTACGATTTTTGGTAATTATTAGTGAATAAAGGTTTTGATTTGCAATATTTATACAACAAATCGATATGTGTATGTATTTACATCAATATGTTTTAAAAAATAAAATAGAATTTGCTAATATTAAGTGATAATATTAGGATTAGTGTGAACAACTAGTTTACATGTTAGGCTAACAGTGCCTTGGTTAAAGAGCCTGTTGCTGTTTATTTATAGCTTTGAATTCTTTAAAACCAATATTATCTTCTTAAACTTGTATGGTAGTCAGGAGCATCACTTTCTAATGTTTATTGATATATTTAGAGGGAGGGGATCTAAAGTAATGCTTTAAAATTCAGATTAGATTAATGTCTACCATTTTCTTAAATTCATGGTAGTTTCAGTAATCCCATGGTAATTGAGGACACAAGTTATCTAAATGACTAATGTCATCTTTATGGCTTTCAGAAAGGACAGGAGACCGACAGGTGACTATCAAAGGACTAGCAGCAGCAGCATGATGATGTTAAATGTGTTGTTTTAGGAACATCCATTGCAAATACATGGAATTCAATAAACATTGAATAGCATATCATGCAGTTTGTCTGTGCCTTTTCCTCCGTGTTGTCCTGGTTTGCTGTGCTGCCTCCCAGTCGCCACCATGGTTTGCTGTGCTGCCTGGGGATGCTCAAATCGCTCCGAGAAAGGAGTACGAATGTACGGCTTCCCCACTGACACAGAGCGGAGGAAAAAATGGCTGGCTCAAGTCAGCAGGAGCAATTTCACGACCAACAGCAAAAAAATATGTGAGGTAATTATATACAAACACTGCATTTGCACTTTTTCACAAAACGAAAACCACACCATTGGGAAAGCTTAATGTTTTGTTTAATACAAAAAAACAGGGAAAGGCTTGAAAAACACAGAGTTGAGACTCAGGGTGCAGGGTGAGGGTCTCAGTGCAGGTATTCAGGCTCCATTGAATCCCCCTCTGGTTCTTGTGCTGAAAGAGGATTAAACAGACAGGAGAAAGGGTTATACACACCTATATAGCACACCTATTGGATGGGAAATTGCCTTGGGGAGATAAGGTGTGGTCTTTGTTCCCAACTGAAGTTATGGAACTTTATTATTTGTGAATTTAATAAAGTATGACAAATGGCATCAGTAACAGATGTGATATGAATTTCTATAAAGTTGTCTCACATTCTTGGTCATATTTTATATACAGTATGTAATGAGTATAACATGTCCAGTAAGTATAAAGTGTTTCCTAATACTGTCTATTCAACCACTATGGAATATGTATGTGGGCAGACAAGATTCAGACACAGTTGTTCTGTGTGTGAAGTAACCTCAAGTCACTCCGCAGGCACATTTTGATGCAGACCAGTTTGTCAAGACAAAAAAGGGCAAGACTAGGCTGAGAGCAGAGGCTATACCCACCATCTTCGTGCATCGCGCTGTGGTCAAAAAGAGAAGGGCCCCTGCACCACGATTCACCCCGGGACCTGTATCTACAAAGCCCATAGCTCATGATCACAGCTATAGTGTGAAAGGTGACACAGGTATAATAAGTATGAACTCTTAGTAACAAAAGTAATATTTCTTATTTTTAAGTGGTATAATATTTTAAATGTTCGAACATTTACAGTGCCATGTCTTCTACTTACATTAGACTCAAAGATTGAGGGAAGAAGGGATGAGGAGACTGAGAGAAAGGAAAGTGAGGGTGAAGAAAGAGAGGACATGGCTAGTGAGGAGAGACAGGGAGGGCGGACACCACCCACTCAGCCAGCAGCCAGTCAGCATACGAGGGAACCAGCAGCCAGTCAGCATACGAGGGAACCAGCAGCCATTCAAACAGATCTATTACAACAATTAAAGAGAAAATTAAAGAGCCAAAAAGGAATCACCAAAAAAGCAAAGGCTGCACTAAGAAAAATCAGGAAGGAAAATGCAGCTCTCAAGAAAACAATGAAAATTAGGGACAAGAAATATAAGAAAACGTTTTCAAAAGACCAACTGAAGGCAGACTCACCACAAAGGGGATGAAATGGAGCAATGAGACAATTAAGAAGGCTTTAAAAATTCGCTTTGCGAGCGGACCAACGGGTTACAAAACTCTGCAGGAATTGAAGATTCCCCTTCCAGGAATAAGGACACTGCAAAGAAGGATGCAATGTGTTAAGTTTGAGCCTGGTGTGTTGACAGAGGTCTTTGATTTCCTAAAATTGAAGGCAGATAAATTGACAGACCTTGAAAGGGAGTGTGTGTTGACCTTGGATGAAATGGCAATCACACCAAGTGTGGAGTTAGACATGATTACAGGCAAACTGTACGGTGATGTGACTTTACCAGGTCACACAGGGGTGGCAACACATGCTTGTGTGTTTATGTTGGCTGGAAACACAACACGGTGGAAGCAAGTAGTGGCATATCATTACACTGGCAATTCTACCAATGGAGCAGAGTACAGGCCAATCATTATTGAGATAATACAGAGGGCAGCATCCATAGGGCTACATGTGCTTGATGTCACCACCGACATGGGTAGCCCTAACCGAGCCATGTGGAAATCCTTTGGGGTGGACCAAAATAAAACATCGGTGCCACATCCAGCAAAACCAGACAGGCAGCTCTATTTCATGCCCAATGTCCCACATCTGGTAAAATTTTTTAAAAAAGTGCCCTTGTCCGTGGGCAGGTCTTCATAATTCCTGAGGATGTTGTTAACAGAGAGAACCTCCCCTCTAACGAGGTTTCTGTGGTCCCCATTAAGGACTTATTGACCTTTCAGGAAGGGATGGCCTTACAAATAGCTCCCCATCTTTAAGCTGCAGCCATCGAGCCAAGTCACTTTGATAAGATGAAGGTTGGTCTTGCTCTAAATGTGTTCAGTAAGGCTACAAGTGCTGGGCTGAAATACATGGTGCAGCAAGAAAACCGCCCTCTGTCATACCTGACGACAGCGTGGTTCCTGGAGCAGGTTGATCGTTGGTTTGATCTGATGTCATCTCGCCATCCAATTACAGCCCTGAGCAGGCTCAAGATGGAGGAGTACCAAAAGGCCATCACCTTCCTCCAGAACATCGTCCGTCTGTTTCGTGGGATAAAGATAGGTCAAAAGGGAGGTTGGAAGCCTGTTCAAACAGGGGTGATAATGGCAACATCAATTTTGGCCATACAAGAGGAGATGCTTACACAAGGACACAGGTTTGTGTTAACGTCAAGGTTCACACAAGACTGCCTTGAAAATACATTCAGCTGTGTGAGGTCTAAAAATCCTGTCCCAACTCCAGTGGAATTCCATCATGCACTGAGAATCATATCTGTGGGGCAGTTCCTCACCACCATCAGCTCTGGGAGCTACCAGGAAGACCACAGTAGCTTTTTGGCAGACTTCCTGGACACAGGGGAGCCAAAAATCACTCCATCAGTCAGAGTGGAACAGCTGATGGCGGTGAACAGAGCAGCAGCACCTGACCTCACAAAAACTGAGAAATGTATTCTCTTCCATCTTGCAGGCTACATCGTCCACAAAATCATCAAGTTTGCCAGCATCTGTGAAAAATGCAAAATTGCAACAGAGCACCATGATGAGAGTCCTTCTGGTGACAACAGCTTGTTAGTGGACTTGAAAGACTTCAAGGCAGGTGCTCTTTGTCGTCCCTCCCAAGAAGCCTTTGACTTCATTCACCAAAATGAGGAACTATTTAGGACCAAGACTGGTTCCTCCCTCATGCAGCTCCCCAACGCAGTGGGTGTATTGGAGAAAGAAGCTCAGGCCCTCTCCAGCAGGCTTCCGTCATGCTGTGGAGTACAACAAAAACTCGTAAAAAGATCTATACGGCTGAGGCTGGTTACCAACAAGATTACTTATATAATACAGTGATAGAATACATGTTTAGTATGCTTACTTATATAAAACAGTAGTATTAAACGTACCTTGTGTTTTCACACTCACTTAAGTCCCTCTCCCTTTGCCATCAATCCAAAATCAGCTGAGCTGCAACATTATACAGGCAGGTAATAATCAACATAATCACAAGGACACAATATGGCTCTGCTAAAAACACTCACTCTTACACGCACCAAAGTTATATTTCTCTAATATTTAACTCCCTCCACCCCCGCATACAATCCCGTTTAGAAGCCCCTCTTCTCTAATTCAACAACGTTGGACCAAATGACATTAAGAGAACGGAATTTACAATTAAAAGGTTGTTCAACGTCTGTTGCTAACTTGCTTCGGTATCCTAGCTTAATCTGTTATCTGTAAACGTTCCCTAAATCTAATGATTTAGGGATAATCCACTGACATCCTTTAATACACATGTTCATTTGAATCAGATGTACTGATAATATCCGCAATATAAATCTTTAAACTTCTTCTTACCTTTAAAAGTCAGTCACGAACGGTCTATTATGCTGCAACTCTACCGCTCTGCTAGCCTTGGCGCTAACTTCCGGGGAACGAATGAGAGGCTCCACGATCCGCCATTGCTGTAAAAAAGTGGTCCATTGGAGTGAACGGAGATGTCATAACTCTTCTATTATACGGCTCTGGCCTGGGTGTTTCTCAATCGCGAGGATGCTGGCTTGGTAGTCGTGTACTTCCAAGTTACTTCCTTCAGAAACGAAGCAAGTATACTTCCAAGCCACGGCTTCGAAAAACGAAGAAGAATGGAACAGGCTAACAAGTGTGCCACTCTCTCTAACGGTTTCAACATAAACTGTACCGAAAATAAATACCTCACGATGTCTATCTAATTATGAACTTGCTTTACTTTCACGGAACATATTTTTGGTGATAACAAACAAATGTAACAAAGTAACATACTTACCAACACATGTTCTACGCCACTATACTTACGTTTAAATGTGTGCTGCGTCGGTTCAGCAATTCTCCGCAAGGGTTTTTGAAATTGGTCCGTGCGCAAAGCATTGTGGGGATTTTATGGACGCGAAGTCTACCCATGTGCGGCCTCGAAATTTCCCCCAAACCAAGGACGCGGCCTCGGTGGAATTCCAAGTATGCTGGAGATTGGAACAGTCCTTCGGCGGCACTCGATGACGTAGCATCCTTGAAATATTGGCTTGGAAGCCAGAAACCTCGAGATTGAGAAACGGCCACTGTCATGATGAAAATAACGTGACAAAGAACTGTTTTTATCTAGTTGTAGATGCTCATTCTCTTAAAGGAACAATAACGGTTTTGAGCCATTAACTAAAATGATGTCTCAGTGAGAGCAGCTGCTCAGCAGACCGAACAGGATTAAGTGCATCCCACTGCATTGTAATGAGTATTTTTCTACAAAAATATACGTTTGATCTTGTTAGATACTTTTTTTTAAAAAGCATTAAAAACATTTATTCATCTCAGTTTGATCGGAGAATAACGACACTCACAAAAGTTGTTTTTAGACAAAGTAGACAAGTCTTCCAGCAGTTACACAATTATACACAATCCTCCTCAACTGCATAAGACAACAAGATCCCTCATTAAAAAAAGAAATATAAACAGAAAGTCACAATGTAACCATGCATTGCAGAGAAAAATTAAAACATTTTCAGTTTGTCTGGTCGAGCGAACAGCACCTTTTCTCTGGCTGACGTCTTTTCTCCACTAAACAAAAACGATTGTCTCACGAAGTTTTCATTGGAACTCTTTTAAGAAGAGTAGTGTTAAAAAAGGGCCACCAGCATCATGTGGTGGACCTGCTGGCCCAGTCTATGTGGTATTTCCGCCATGGATTGCACGTCGTCGGTCATGAGGAAGGCGATTGGTCCGACCCGCGTCCACACACACCTTTCGCACAGTGGGCCGCCAGCAGCCACACCGTCAGACTAAAAACAGACAAAAAAAAATGTTGTTTAATATCACAAAATGCTAAGTGGCTATTCAATATTACTGTAAATGAAAGGCAGTTAGAATAAAATATGTTGTTTTCTGAGGGTGGTTTTAAAGGTTCCCTATTATGCTGTTTTTCATCAATATATTATAGGTCTCAGATATATACAAAACATGTCTCTGAAGTGTTTGGCTGGAAATACCAAACAGATCATTGCAGCATCCCACAATCCCCTCTGTTTCAGCCCTGTTTCAAAAGTGCTGATTCTCTGTCTGTTACTTTAGATGAAAATAAGGAGCCACTCCTCACGCCCCTCTGAGAGATATTTGGTTACAAGGAACACAATGGTGCTCTAGGAGGAGATTCAGGTGATAAGGGGGGGGGGGTTACCTTGGTTGGTTACACAAGCCAAAATATCGTTATGACATCATAAAAGTGGCCAAAATATCGTTTTTATATAAATGGATCAGGACAAAAAGTGAGAGAATCTTTTTTCCTGAAACTTTCAGAATCTCTTCACACAGAGGGGACACGTGTTGATGTAGAAGAGACATGAACAAGTGGATTTTGCATAATAGGTCCCCTTTAATGTTAGAGAGGAGGATATGTTCTTACACATTTCATCTGTTGTTTGCACATGATGAAGGCTGATCCGGGGGTGGTGCAGTTTGGGCAGTCTGGGATGCAGCACGGGAGCGGATCGCCCTGCTTCATCAGGGTGCTCGGCATCTCCGATTTCAGAAAGTACTCCTGCAGAGGACATGAACTTACAATCATCATGACGTAAAGTGAACAACTGTTGCAACAATTGTTTGGCCTTTTCCGACAACTTAACGAGGAGCAGATGCTGAGCCCCATGTGTGCTGAGAAAACAAAGGAAGCAGAGAACCGTATCCATAGGCTGGGTTACGGGGGGGGACACTTTGTTGGCCTCACGCCCGGCCCAGACCAACCCCCGCTAAACATTTAGCCTTCATGTAGAGCTGCAGAGATTAGTCCATCAATCTTTAAGGTCCATTGAAAGGAAGTTGTGGTCTTCTCTAAGTACTTCTTAAAACCCACCTCTTAGCGTATTGACGCATACGCTAAGGCATGACGTATCTTTTAGATTGTTGTTTTTATTGCTTTTAATTTGTCTATTGTTTTGACTTGTACTTGTTTTATGATGTGTGAGCTGTGCTGTGTGATTTATTCGTATGTTTTGTTTGTTTATTTGACTGTACAGCACTTTGGTCTGGAGGTTTTAAAGTGCTTTAGAAATAAAGCGGTATTGTATACTGTGGATCCAGCAGAGTGTCTTTTTTATTTCTCTGCACTGTTCAGGCCATCAACAGAACATCTGTTATATAACTTGTATGACCGCTATGGGAAGTGCTATGAGAGAAATGTACACAAAGTCAAGACTCATTTTGGACATTGTTTTTGTTCTTTGCTTTCAGTGTGGTCTGACACACATCATCTGCTGGCTGGATGTCTAAACCCTAAAAAGAGAGTTGTTTTAACTTGCTGCCTCTGCTGCTCCATTACACCTGTATCTCCAGAGGCCTGTACGACGAAGCCGGTTCAACATAACCTGGATATGTTTGAGTTACCCGGTTTACCTAATACAAAACAAACGCGCTCTCGCTAAACTGTCCTACGACACTGGTTATCAACTCGTTAACTCAAGCCAGCTTTGCCCTATCTAGTTAGGTGCGCGTTCACATGAAAGGGGTGGTATCTGGAGCATTCGACCAATCACAAACATGGAGAAGCGTACTGACAGCGCAGCGTCATACTTCCTGAATAAAAAGTGAACTATAATATTAGTCAAAAATGAAGAAGTTAAACTTTAAACATCCATGACTTAAACACTTGATCCAGGATAAAAGCCACATAGCTGCACCTGCAAGGTGAATACAGCTGGTAACAGAAAAAGTGTGTGAATGCATACATTAACAGGTTTATGATATCACTGCCCCGTCTAAAACGAGTGGATCTGACTTTAATTACATTTGACTCGAGGGTTTCGTCAACTTAATGTGTTGCTTGAAATAATACTTCTGCATACAGTATGTGACACTGAGTGTTGCACGGCCAGATACGGCTCAGCTGACTCAGATAAGGAAATATATGATTATGATGTGATATGCCACGGACTGTACTTAATGTTACTCTGATCCGGCTACTTATGTTGTGGCAGATATTTAAGTAAGCTTTCTTAACGCTAATGTTATAATAGTCAGATTGCTCTGAAGATGGAGGTGATATTCTATTCATGTTCACGTTCACACAGTCGGTGATTTTTGCCCGCCGTCTTTCCTGCGACGGCAGCTTTTCTGTATTTCCTTTCTCCTGTAATATGACTTGATCGCTTTAAACTCCGCACACTGAGCTCTGATTGGTCAGCAGGCAGTGCTTTCACTGAGTTGAGCTCTTAGCCTGCAACCTAACCTGCTCCGGACCAGGCTAGCCGCTCAGCATAAGTTACCATGGAGATCTAGCCCGCTAAAAAGAGAGCGTCGTGGGACCGGAAATACCAAGTTTTTTCCCTGAAGTTAGCCCGCTAAGCGAAAATCCGGCTTCGTCGTACAGGCCTTTGGTATATCAAGTAATCTTTGATAATAATAATAATAATAATAATAATAATAATAATAATACATGTTATTTATATAGCACTTTTCCTGGTGCTCGAAGCGCTTGATGGAGCATAAATCGTGCAATGTGGGCTAAACCACTTTACTTATATTCCGGCACAAATAGAGTGGTCCAGTAATGAGTCCTAAAACCCGGAAAAGACTAAGCATTCGACCACTTTCACTTCGCTCGTCTCAATGGTTTTTAATGTGTTTTAGATAGAAGACTAAAATAAAGTCTGATGAAAGGCTGAGGAAATGTTCTATTCTGACTTCCATGTCCGGCCAAAGACGTCATCACTGCCCCACTCTATACCTAGAAGTCATATGAAATAACCTGAAATAACCTGGCTGGCAGATGTTTAGGGAGAAACTGGTCGAACTCTGACAGGTCATCTTTAGAAATCAAAAGCAACAAGAGGGAAGTAGAAATGCAGGGGGAAACCTAAACATGATAGTAATTGTATTTTGTATGGTTTCTGTTAAAAGTCCCCTATTATACTCGATTTCAACAATATATTACAGGTCTCAGATCTATACAAAACATCCTGATTCAGTGTCAGTAGCTTTAAATGGTAATGAGCTGCGACTCACCACGGCCCTCTGCAAGACGTTAGGTTTAAAAAAAGAAAACACACAAATGGTGCTCTAGCAGGAGATGCAGGTGATAAGGAGGGGGGGTGTTACCTTGGTTGGTTATTGGCTAATGGTTACACAAGCCAAAAACACATTTTGATATCCCAAAGTGGCCGAAATCTGATCAGTTCATTTTCAGACACGTTTTTATATAAATGGATCAGGACAAAAAGTGAGCGAATCTTTTTTCCTGACACTTTCTGAGTCTCTTAACACAGAGGTGTGTAGGTGTGCCTCACCCCTGCCTCTGTGAGAATGCGACGGATGGTCTTTGTGATGATCAGAGTCGTCTTGGCTCGAGTCACCGCCACATACAGCAGGTTCCACTCATCGTCAGGAACTTCATCTGAGAGAGAGAAGAAATACAGACTTTTGAGATCAAATTCAATCAGAACAATAACAAACTTTGTTTACATACCACATTTCGAAGCGCTTACAGAGAACACATTTAATAGGAAAGTGATGTGCTTGTATTTTCGAGTTAAAACCCCAGCAGCCTACATTTGGATGAGCTGGAGGCGGGAGGGGGATTTTTTTGCTCATGCTAGAATAACAGTAGTCTTATCTACTGGTGATTCATGAGTTTATAACTGTTTCCAGATTTTTGGGAGTTGGAAATGGTCCTATTTTTACATTCTAATTCATTTGACTTGGGTGGGTTATTGAATATGACATCAACATTTCTGCAATTGACCTGGACAGAGAGCCAAGACTGTTTGATATTATTGGCTTGCCTTATTTCTGTCTTATCAGCATTTAGCAGCAGGACATTAATAGCATTTGAGGATTTCCTAAAAAAGCAGTTTCGGAGGCTACCATTGTTCTG